ATATTCTCATCAGGCATGCATACCATGAATGTGTACGTACATTTGCCCTGTCTAGATGCTCACAATGTATTTTTCATTTGGCTTCAAAGATCACAGCACATCATGTTCATTTTCTGTTTTATATTAAAACTGCATAAAACCTTCTTCAGAATGTATTTTTCTGTGCTAATTCCAGCTTGCCTCAGGTGCCACTTGCTAAATCAGACACACTCATTTTTTTTCAAAAGCACACAAAAAGGATTAAAAAGCACAGAAGCTTTTTCCCCCTCCAGTTATCCTATACTCCACTACTATGAAGCAATTGTTCAGCAGAGATAAATTATAGTGAAATACGTCCTTTTGGATAGCAAAATGCCTTCATCTTTCAAGGAAACTTCTCCAGAAGCTAACAGTACAAGGCTTTCTGATTTGTAACTTGGGGCAATAACCTTTAATGTAATTCAAGTAACAGGCATAAAAAAAGAAGTGAGAAAAGGAAGCAAACTGTCTTTAGAAGTAGCCTTAGACCACTGTAATTCTAATGTGTCACTGCTGCTGGATAATGACATGTGATAAGAGCATTATGAAGCAGCAAGGAGAAATACAATGGTTTTGTCTTACAAACTGATTTTTTTTGCCCTTTTGACAATAATGGAAGAATCAGCTTGTCTTTTGCAACAGAATTAGAAATTACACCATTATTTATATGACCTGAAATTTACCTTTTACCTCTCTCAAGAAGATACAGACAAATGCTTTTCAATTATATGCTTGAGTAACCTGTTTTAAAACAACATTGGCATTAAGCATATTATGTGAAGCTTTGTCAGAAGTCTACTTTGTTCATTGCTATGTAGTGGTCTTGGCTAGATTGATACATACACAATTGTATCTTGCAGAAGGCTGCAAAGACATTCTTAACTGGTTGAGCAGTTTCACCAAATGAAGCTGGGAAGAATCTTGTTTATTACATTCTGTCTGGATAATTGTGGAACCATCATCATGGTTTCCTCACACCACCATGTTCCTATACCAAGGGCATTCTCTGCTAACATTATTCTGTGCCAGCTACTCTGACGCTTGATTTTTGGGAAAACAGGGACAGAAAGAAATGAAGACTCGATACCTTAATTTAATAGTCAGGTAATTTTTCACTTGCTGATCAAGTAATGATTAAATTACGACCTAAAGGCCGCTTTACATGTTGGCATGGACAATGTATGGAACACATAGGAAAGGCTTTTAACTACTGTTAAGCAACAAAATATCTTAACAAAATCAAAATAAAGAAAGCTCAAACATCAGTATCTTGTAAGCCTGTGATAGAGTCCATCTATTTAAAAGGCTACATTTTGTATTATATCACATTATATTAACTATATTATATTCCATTGTGTTGCCCTGCATAGGGGAATGTAGTATTGAAACAGACCTGTCAAAATGCAGGGTTAGTCTTTGACCACGAGGTGGGAGAATTGCTCATCACACATACACAGGGCACATTAGGCTTTCACATCAACTCGCTGCTGAAAATGACAAGTACTCCGTATATTTCTGTGCTAAAACGTGCGTGTTACCACAAGAATAAGTTCCCAGGACAAACACACACGCAAAAAAGCCTTGTAATTGTCTATGACTGCTAGCTGAGAAACAATACGTGATTAAATAAACTGTGTTTTGGTCTCTGGATTAAACTGACCTTGAAGGTTTTCAGGGATGGGTCATCTACCACCTCACTAGACATACTGTTCCAGTGTTTCACTATTGTCCCTGTAAAAGAAGTCTTCCGTATAACAAGTCTGAAATGGTGAAGAATAATTTTCTCATTTATTGCTGGCTTTGTGAGCAAAAAAATAATTGCAAAAAAAGAAAGGCTGGAATGTTGTCTCTGATAGGGCTGTGTCTTTATGTGGGAAATGGAAGACTTACATTTCTTTTCTTGGAACTGAAAATATAGGGACTATACTGAGTAACACACAATATCTCTCACAGGAAAAAAAAAAGCCAATAATGTTAAGATCAGATTAACATGAGAAGGAGACCAGGCTACATTCAAGGGACTTGCACAGGATTTTGAAGCAGTTATGTCTGAAATCCAAGGGATGAGTGCAGCTTACATAGCCATCCTCAAGCTAGCTTTAAAGTTGGCTTTAGTATGGATAGACTCAGTTGTACACAACTCTGGCTAGATGCATAGTTTCTCACTGTCTCAATGAGCTTGATCCCTGTTCCTGGTGGCATCCCCACTTAAGTATTTTTGGGTAGCTTCAAGGTAACTGACACAGAAGCTACAGAGTAGAAGTGCAGTTTTAATGTCTTCGTGTCAACATGGGATAGTTCTTCTATGTGTCCCGTGTCACTAGATTCCCCATGTAGTAGAAGGACAAACATATTAGAATCATTCTGGCATGTACGTATTCCTGTAAGAAGATATTACAATAGCTTTCATTGTATATGCTCAAAAAGCACCTTGGACACAGATCCTACAAAGACTTATGCAAAATATATTCTGCAGCTTTCTTCTCTGGATGCAGGATGTCTGCATAGTAGGACAGCGTAGCAGACTGGCATCAGCTGGGTTCAGGGCTTCAGCTGGTGCTAATGGGTAGTAGTGAGAAAGCTGAAGCCTTCATGGTAAATCTACAAAAATGGGAACCTATTTAATACAAATAGACCCCAGCCACATACTGAACAGAGGTTGCATACCCTAAGAACTGAACAGAGGTTGTAATACCCAAGTACCCTTCACCATGGAAAAAGTCTAGGCTGAGTTTCACCCACCAGCAAACTACATGTGGTAAGTGTGTTGTAGCCATGACCTCAATTTTTCTAACTCCCTTGCTTAATCTTTTTTTCCAGCGTCTGATATGTGAAAGACTTGCACAAAAGAAAGCATATGTTCAGGTAAACATTTCAGTAGTCTGCAAACAGCTGTGTATTATCAACAGATAATGTTCCTTTCTCCACATCCCTCACATGGCTGTTCAGATTTGCTCTGGGGTGAGGAATGGACAGAACAGGTTGTGCAGTATTTGGCAAAATAGAAGTGCCATCCTAGTGCTATTCTTTCCAAGGTGCATCATTGACAATTTTCCCCCTGATTTCGATCAATGAGATCATTAGCTATAATCTGCCTCTACAGTGTCAGAATTAAAAACATTCAGCCTACAAATTGTTCTTGCATGGTTACAGTTGCTTATTCACTGTAATGAAGTGGTCCCATGGTATTAGTCTTTTTCCTAAGGGGATGAGCAGAACTTTCTCCTACAAGAGAACAAATGATAACAAACACAAGTAACACCAAACAAAGATTAGCAACTTGAAAGGAACCAAATTCATACCCTCAATCTTCAAGTCAGCACGAACCATTCACATCTTGGTCCTCTAGCCCAACTAAATAGGTGCCTCTAATCTTTCTAAGCTCTTGAGAGTAAAGGATTTCTAATGTAACTTTGTCCTCAAAATCAGGTATTCCCAGGTCTTCTCTCTTGGCTGGGCTGGTGCTCTTTAGCCCTCTAAAAAAGCCCCAGTGTTTCTGCATCTGCCTGATCCTGCCAGGGCTGCAGCCTTCCAGCACAGCTGCTGCTCAGCCATCACCCACTGCGGTAAGGAGAGCAGCATTCTGCCCATTAATTCTTCTGAAGCCTTGATAGTTACATACAGACTACACATACTCATGAACATCTGAAGGGGCACATGTTATCTGAGTATTTGTGCTTAATTTCTGCATGACCACAGTAACAGTTGTGAATAGTAGTTATTCAAGACTGTTTTCCTGACAGACATTTAACTCAAGTATGTAAGTAACATGACCTCTTAAGAAAGTAATTGAATTTTTCTAAAAACCTGTTGCTGAGGGGCCTCTCAAGAAAAGGTACGTATTTATGTGTTTGAGAATAATATATGCTTGTAGATGGAATTTTCTAAATTTTTAGTTGACGTACAACATTTTCTTATTTGCCACTTTGCTAGAGCAATAGAAATTTAAATAATTTCTTGAAAGGAAGCAATAAAAGAAAATGTGTTATCATACTGAACTGAAGTACTTACAATGAAGTTGTCTTTCTTGATCATCAAAAAAAAGCACTGTATTATTTACATTTAGGAATAGCTATGTTTCAGTGAATTTCACTGAGACATGCACAGAGAAAATGCCAGAAAATTTGTTTCCATTTATTTTACTACTTAATACTTCAGCAATTGCCTTTGGAGCAACGTGGGTTCAGACAGTATCTCAGAGCCCTTGTGGTACACAGATGAGGAACTACAAAAGAGGAAACATGCCACAGAATTTACAGATGTTCTTCCACTTTGATGGGGCTACTAAAAGATCTGTGGACCATTACGCTAGGCTCAAACTCATTTGAAATTATTCCCAGATGCCCATGAAACCATTCTGTGGCTTGGCATTGCTTCAGTTCGAGAATGTTTCAGCAACCTCCCTTTTCAATATCATCCTTAATAGGACCTCTATGCTGATATGTTCACTCCTGAACATATTGGCTTCTCACACCAGAGGTCTGGCAGCACTTGGCAAATTCCTTCTCAGACAATTAAGTCAAGAAAGCTTCGTGTTTTACTGGTGTAGCATAACATGCAAACATGTAAAACAGGAACATCTTGTGTAATATTTTTATAGCTCTTTTTTTTAGTCTCCAATGCAGCGTGTCCTAACATACAGCAGAATACAGCCCAAAGAAAGTCAGAAGGATAGAATCTCATGAATCCGCATTTCCTGTTAAGCAACTCGAATAATCCAGGATTTTTCTTTCAGGCACTGCACAGAAACTGATGGATAAAGCTTACCATCTGAACTAAGCAGTGCTAGGAATTATGTGAAAGAAATTATTTTCACTCAGAATGCCCCAAAGGCTTTTTTCAAACCTAATGACTGCTTCTGTTAAGTCTGTTTCTGGTCGCCACACAATTTTTTTTGGTTTAGAATAAACTGCAGATGTTTAGGAAACAATGGATTGCATATTAAAATGGGTGACAAAAATGCAATGAAATGCCGTCCTTACCATCTGTTTTCTTTGATTCATCTCCCACACTGGACTTATCTTTTTTGTCTAACTTATTGTCTTCCTTTAATTCACCTAGAAACAAGCAATAAGAAACACTATGATCATTTTAATGCAGACTGCAATTCATTGATGCCTGTAACTCAATCAAATTCCAACATCCAAAGGAGACGTTCCTTAGGAGAAAAGGTCTGAATTCACAAGGGACTGGACTAACACATTTTCATAGAATAAAGCACTAGACAAAATTTACACAGCTCCTAAAGAAAAGCAAGCTTTGCAATCTACTTTTAAATTTATTCTACTTATTAAAACCCTTTAAAGTGCACATGCAAATTCATAATCCCTCTGATTGCATGTAGACCATTACAAACCTGAGCATAATCTTAATTTCAAAATCAGCACTCTGAAACACTTTTATGTTCAAAGAACTAAGACCCTGCAAGACTTCCTCGTAAGTCTCTGCATTAAAGATACACCTTAGATCTCCCAAACAGACCTATATAATTTTGTCTTATTTTGTCTTACCAGATTCTTTTATCCACAGATTCATTTGTGTTGGTCCTTTGATGATGGTATCAGAGAACAAACAATCATCCTAGCATTGATCACTGCCATTAGAGTCTCTGTAGTAAATCAGAAAACCAAGGCTTTGGCAGAGCAATGGTTGAGGCAGAATGAAAATGGCAACTTGAGCTGGGATGTATTTTATGAAGCCAGGAAGGTAAACCAGTGATTCTCATTTTCTGTCCTCTCTTAGCCATACAACATTGCACATGAGACCTTCCCAGACCATGCCTTCATTGAATGAGAATGCTGAATGCAAGATTAAATAAAAAACAGCTTAAAGGGAGAGCTGTAGCAGAACAGAACTATTTCATCTGCTGTGTCTGAACAGCAGCAAAGGTGTCCTTCCTTCATATATCCAGAGAAGCAACAGCAGCCTGCTGAGATGGGAACAGGCTATTTGTCCTTTCCCCATGCAGTAATGACTGTTAGCTTGTGATGCACACCTCCAGACAAAAAGCTGCAAAAGTCCCTCTGCAGAATTTTGTAAACATGAGGTATGTTACAGGGCTATATTAAAGTGATGTTTATTCCATTTGTATTACTATTTTTGTTACTATAGCTACTTCCCAGCCTTTGGATCAAGATTAAAGATATTATGTGTTAAAGAGGATCTGATCTGCCTTCAAAATACTCATGGGCGGGGGATATTTATTTTTGGAACAGTTGAAAAAAAGAAAAATTGCAGAGAAGCAATGTCTCCTTTTTCCATAATGTGCCCTAACCCCCGGCATATTTATTATTCTTGGATGACAAAGGATTTCTCTCTCTTGCCAATTAAGCTTCATCACAGTAGAAAAGAGGAACGGCTTTCAAATCTTAAAATATTTAACAGTATGGAAAAAAACATGTTCTGTTCCGATCTCATTCAAAACTTTACATGTTTTTCTTCCTAAAATCACTGTGTGCCTGAGAGAAAAGTGAAAGCAAGATGTTACAAGACAAGCAGCACCCTCCTGAGCTGATCATGCTGCCTTGGCTTGGGGTCCTTGAACAGAGAGGCATGAGCAGATCCAAACAGCGCTGAGATGTCAGTTTGATGAAGGTGGCCTTAACAAAACTAAGATGGAAATTGAAACAGAAATGTACCTAGCAAAGTACTTCTTGCATTTCCTCCAACATCATACAGCTGATGGTAATGATGAGCTAATGCTTTTTGACCATTGCATAAAGAAGTTGCTTGACACTAAGTGTGTGCAGATGATGAACATCTACACCTACATTACCTCACAGTTCAATCTCTCAGTGAGTGACTAAGAGACTTTAAGGGACTAAGAGACTTTAAACTCACCTGATGGCACAATTTCTGAAATTTCATTGAATATACCTATGAATAGGGGACTTTAGAGTATTGTAATATATACCCTGACATACTGCCAGCAGCAGAGCAGAACAGTGTTCATAATGATCTTTTTGGAAGGGATTAGAGAGGCAGAAAAATAATAATCACGTATGTTATGATGAGATATTAACATAAAAGCATAAAGAAAGCTGTGGCAAACCCAGAGATATGAATGCTAAGATTTCATCAGTCTCCAAAGACTCTGCAGTGATTATACCTCCTAAAGGCCTTATACCATAAAATAAGGAGCAGAATTTCTTTTCCTGATGAAGACACTAATTTTCAGAAATCGTTATAATTCCTTTCAAAGCACTTTTGACACCTGCAGCAGAGAGACATTGCAGAAAAAAAAGTATTATCAGAATCACTAGAGCACACTGAACCCTGTAAGGAGTTAAAGAGCCTGTCTCAAACTCTGTTAAGGCCACAGAATGAACTTGGCAAAGGATAAGCCACCACAGTGGGGAACTTATGATATGCAAGGAATCTGTGACAGGATGATGCTAATTCCAGACCTGACAGACCTGGTTAGCACAGTCCTGGTTAATGCATCTGAACAAATATTCCTGC